CACCGATTCCAGCGTCATCAACATACAGAACCACCATCATGCCTTTCTTGTACAAAAGACACGGATCAAAATCAGATTGTTTGAATCCACACTTGGTGAATCCTTCCACGGCGGTCTTATTCCATAGCGCGGGGGCAGCTTTGGTCCCATATAGTGACTTGTTGAGTTGAAGGCATGTTCCTTTGCCCTTTGGAGAGACGAATCCTCAAGGTAAGTGTACCCATTTTGGTTCGTCCAGTTTGGATTGTACGAATGCATTGCTGAAGTCAACCAAGATGGTGGCCCATCCAAGGATCAAGCAAAGGACAAGAAACAGACGGACAGTACTCCATGCAACGGTAGGTGCAAACGTGTTTTCGTCGACATCCATTTCTTCCAGGTCTCCTCTCACACAGTATCTTGCCTTAAATTTGGTCATTTCTCCGCTTGGGTTTCTCTTGACACGAAAGACCCAAGTTCCAGGAATGATCTTGGTCTTCGCTTTTGACATTGGGACTTCAATCCAGGTGAGTTTTCCTTCAAGTTCTTCAATTTCTTTCTTTGCTGCTGCAGTCCACTTTTTGCTGTTGGGACCGTTGACCGCTTCATTGTAAGTGAAAACGTCTGGGTCCTTGGTTGCTCTCGCTTTGTACGAGCTTGGAATGAAGCTGCAGTCATGGGAGTGTTCCAGGTCAATGTTCGAATGGTTGAAGTATGCTGAAAAGTAAGTGTAGAAGTTGTTGGTCTCTGGACTTTGCGATTTTAGGGGTGCGGTGTATCCTGCAGGCCCATGTCCATCATACCCAAAGCGTTTAGGAGGCTGGGCTTTGTTGGATCTGCGAGAGGTGCGTGTGGCTGATGGCTGAGGTGCAGGTTTGCGAGGTGGTGCTGTTGGCTGCGGTGTGCGAGCCGGTGAAGGAGTTGGCTGCGGCGAAGGTGAAGGCTTTGGCTGATTCGTAGGCGTAGGGGTAGTAGGAATAGGGGTCACATTCTCCCTCTGAGAAGGAGGCGGCTGAACGGGGGAAACAGCTGGCGGATTCTCGATGACTGTCTCCCTCTGGATTGGAGGTATGGTGGCTCCAGAGGAATCGGCTTGGGGCTGGGTGGGTGGCGGAACAACGTCCAGTGGAGTGGGCGGGTTGTGAACTTCTGTTTGTTCTCGGACTCTTGCAGTTAAAGGTGGAGGAGGATCGTCGGTGGGATCAGGTGGATGCAATGGGTCCTTGGGACCATCCAGAACATATTGGTAGACGGAGTCTCCAAAGAGTTTGGACCAGGCTTCCGAACCAAAATCAGGTAGGTCATCAACATTTGTTGCCACAGTCGAGAAGGTAGGATCGAATACAATATGAAATTGCGTGGTGATGGCTCCTGTGTCGGGATTCAAACAAAGTGGAACTGACGATGCATGTCTCTTGCTCATTCCAACGTAGATCTGGCGGGTGGATCGAGGCTTCCACCAAGGAAGTTTCTTTCCATCTTGCATCTGTTTGTCCAAGACATACACTGGGCATCCCCAAACTTGAACATCGGCAAGTTGTGACTGTTTCCAACAGGTTTTGGTAAGCAGATCGTGTGGTGAGAGACCAGAGGATTGGTTGGGCATGTGGTTGTAGAGGAAGACGGCATGATCCACTGCGAGGGGCCAGAGTGTGGTGGTCGCAACATCGGGCCAATGGATGGCTTGATGCATCATCATTGTTCGAGCGATGGACATGATGGTTTGGATTGATTGTTCGCCGATTCCATTGAGATGATGAGCTCCAACGCCAGCAAATGAGTGAATTTGTGAGAACTTGAGTAAGTGATCATTGTATTCTTGCGATGTGAAGGGCCTTCCATTGTCACTTAGATATTGGAGTACAACTACTCCGTAATCTCGAAGTTGTTCTTCCACAGATATCTTTGCACTCAGCGTCTCTTGGGTGTTCAGATGAACTTGATGCTCGACGAAGACGTAACCTGTTGCATGGTCAACGAAGATGCATCCTCCAGTGTACTGTGTCTTGGGATCTTCTTTGCCAAAGGTATGAAGCAATCGTCCTCTTGTGGTACACTCAAAATGATCAACTGACACCTTTTGTCCTGGGAACAGGTTTTCTTTCTTCAAAGCTCCCTCTTGATCACAAACGACTCGAGAAGTCTTTCCAGGAGACGGTCGACGACGTTGTTTTATTGACAAGCTGGGCAAAGTGGGTATGTTGTGATCCGAGATGCTGCAGCTTGCAATCGTCGAGCGGACTCTGAATGCGCCAATACACCTGTGCGGAGTAGAAATTGGATCTGACTGAAGTTGAGATGGCCTAGCCGATGGTGCCATCTTAGGAGTTCTTTCTTGGCGGGACTGAGGTTGTGGTTTGACTCCAAGGTGGACGTGATGATGCTGGCAAATGCATCGAATCGGTTAGGGGCAGTTCCATGGGAGTAGGCAAGCGATGTTGGCAAATTCGTTGAAGGGTTATGGTCAACGTGTACTGAACTTGTTTTGTCTGATCCAGACAACTGTAGATGATCAGCGTTCATTGAGATGGACTCATCGGTGTATGTCTGGAGCAAACTTGAGGTACTGAGCAATCGAGCTGTGGCAGAAGGTACGTATAGGGCAGGCACCTTGATTGTTTGTAACATGCCAGTTGTATCAACCACTGACCATGCAACATGTCCAATCCCTTTGATTTCCAGGCCGCTAGCGATTCCACGAAGCTTGAGTCCAAGAGGTGCTGGCTCAAGCTTTCCCACAAAATCGTCCTTGTAAGGTGAGATCGAGGTTGTTGCACCGGAATCCCAGATTATCGGGTACCTTGTCGTCTTTTCATCACCTGACATATCTGATCTCAATTCATCTGGATTCATTGCAGCACGGAAGCAGTTGATGACCTTGCTGAATCGTTGTGGAATATCAGCGTTCTTGAAGAAGGCTTTGGCCGCGGGAGAAGATAGAACGGCAACGTGAGCCATTGGGAGTCCGACGCCAACGGTAGGTCTGTAGATTCGTGGCATGCTTGGTTGACGTAGACGTGTCATCCTTCGTCTGCGCATTCGATCCGTTCTTGGAAAGGTATTGAAGTGGCGGAAGATGTCGTCACTTGGTGTCAAAGAAGGGTCATGGCGATCGGAACGATGTCTGGAGGAGTCGTGGCGACAGGAGCGAGGTCTGGGAGGATCAAAACGGAAGGCATCATCTTCACCTTGCTGGCGGGGACCTTGGTAGAAGGTCCAGTTTGGATCGCCAGGACGCCGACGCCGACGCTGATGGTCATCACGGGGTGTTTCGCGGGAAGTGGTAGCATGAGGGGTACTAGGTTCGTTGTCGTTCATGTTTCTCCAACCGTTGTTTGTTCTCTGCCAATTGCTTTGATCATTGTGATTTCTCTGATGTCGTCTGTTGCTTCTCCAATTATCTCCCTCTCGACGGGAACGACGAAACGTGAGAGACTCCGAAAACTGAATGATATGTTGGACCAAGTCAAAGATATCTTGAGATCGTGGGTCGAGGCGACGGCGGGTGGCGAGACCATAGTGACGGGTGTGGCGACGATGGCTGAAGGAAGTGGGGCGGCGCTGAAGACGGCAATGTCGAATGTATCGTTTGTACTTTGCTTTGGTCATCCGGAACGGGCGAAACTCTTGAGGCCGGGACCCAATGAGACGGTGTTGCACTTTGGTAGGAAGGGACACAAGGATCAGGAGAATGAACCACAGGAGTGGAGCAAGAAGGGCGGTCGGGGATCCCTCAAAGGCAGCAAAGACAGTGGAAGCGGCAGTGAATAGGTAGGCGGAGGCGGCGGTAGCTTCACTCATCATGAAAGAAACTTGATTGGCCAAGAAAGAGGATGCAGTCGAAACTTGATCGGCCATGAAAGCTGAAACATTTGGTGTAGTGACGCCAATGGAACGGGCCAAGAAGAAGGCAACAACCAACTGGGGAAGGTAACTCAAGAAGTGTTGGATTATGGTCCAGACAACACGTAGGGACAGAAGACTTGGCTGATCATGGCAAAAGGGGGTGTACCAGGCTCCAGCGAAGCGCAGGTGATTTGCTTGGGGTCCCGAACCTTTCAAGTCGCGCTTGGTGGCATCATTGGTATGGCCGTCAGTGCCATGGGTGGTCGACCAACGTCCACAGTGAGCGCACCAGTTAAAATCCTTTCCACCGAGTTTCTTGGTCTCAGGTGCACCAGGAGCAGGTGGAGTAGTCTTCCAACTGGATCCGTGCTTGTCCTTTTGATGCTTACTCTTCTTGTTGTTGTTGAAAGGTCGCTTGGGCTTCTTTTCACTTTTGCAGTCGCGAGCCCAGTGTCCTTTCTCTCCACAGTTCAAACAGATGTCGTCAGGTTTGGCCTTGCCCTTTGAACCGGTCTGCTGGTGGATCAGAGCGTATGCATGGTTCTGGACGTCATCGGGGGTGAATGTCTTGGCCATCTTGGCATAGGGAGTCTTGGAGTCTCGGATGGTGGGTCTCGCAGCAGGCCGTTGATGCTTGTCAAAAAGTGTACGGTAAGCATCCTCGGCCTTGTCACAGATGTGCTCGTGTGTAAGTTCTTCTGCTTCCAAATGTTGCGCTGCTGCTTCCTTGTCCATGTAGCCAATCTCAATCAGTGCTTTGTTCATCTTGGCGCTGACGTTGAGCATTTCATGACGGTAAGAATTGTGCTCAGCTCTGGAGGCTTCAAGGAAGTTGTCAACCATGACATTGTTGAGGTTGAATTCATATTGACCTGCGATTGTCAACTCATTTGCATCTTCCTTGTTGTCCTCTGCCATCTGTGCAATATCCTCTCCAGAGTATTGGGAGGGCTTGCGCTTGCGGATGTTTGTCTTGAGTCCTTCAAAATAATGGATAGACGTGGTGTGGAGCATCTGAATGAACTTTTGGAACATGACGGGAAACGGATCGGTAGTCTTGACCTTCAGGTAGAGTTTGGCAGCAAGTTCTGGGTCGAGGCTGTTGCCTAGGAAGATCTTGGCTTCAGCGTCGTTTGCTTTGTCGTACTTGTCGTAACATTTGACCTGTTGTTCAACTTGCTTTGTAACAGACTGGACCGTGAATCTTGGATGTCCGTTGACAATGCAGAGCATTTCACCAGAGACTGGATCAGGTACGTGAGTAATGGCAAAGAACCCATTTTCTTCAATGAATTCTTGTATCTGACGCTTGAACTCCTTGAGATTGCCTTTTCTGACAAACTTGACAGGCAGACCTTGGGTACGTAGATGACGGTACTTTCCATCTCCATAGATGGGACGTTGCTGGTTTGGAGAAAATGCCAGTGGTGCACTGGTGTCCAATGCGCTCCAGTCCTTCAATGGTTTGCCAGTTCCAACGACTGCCATCTTGTCGCCAGAGCTGTTGATTTCCATGGTGTAACCCATGATGGGCGGTTGGAGCTGGAAGGTTGAAGTGGTGCCCGACATGGGAGGCGATGTGCTTGTGGAACTAGCGGTGTTGTTGTCCCAGTCGGAGCCAACTGAGTCGTCGTTGAGTTCTGTGGCGACGTCAACAAGAGATGCTGGAGAGCTGTCTCCTGTAGGACCAGTTGGGCGAGACGGAGTCTCTATCTTTGCAAATGTGAGCTTGGAAAGCTTGTGGGCCGGTTGGTAGGTGCTTGGAAAGCTCGATCGATGCTCGGAGAGCTGGTGGTAGCTTGGGAAGCTAGCTAAGTACTTCTTTGTTGTAGGCTCGGAGAGCTTTCGTTGGTAGCTCTAATGGACGTCTCCACAGAGGCTGGTAGCGTAACTTATTAGGTATAAATTGGGCGTAAATAACCACTCAAGCTGTAGCGTGTACAGCCTTGATTACTTGAGAATGCAGGCACAAGGTTGTCCGGGCTTGTCGTGCTTCAAGTACTGAATTAGTTGTAAAATGTCCGGATAAAACAGTATTCTGAAAATTATAGTGATTTTGTGTTGTGAAGGATGTAAACAGGATGAAACTCCGACCATCTCAACGCATGTAGAAGCGATGCTTAGTCTTAACAACATTGAGAATGTGGCGAAGTCTAGCGAGGGAGTATTGTAGTCAAGATTGGGAATCTTGATACCTGTATAAGATACTTTGGATACGTTAGCCGTTGGGGTGCAGACGTTCAGTAACGGCTATCATCTGATGGACAAACAGACGACTTTCGACTCATCATGATCGAATGAATCATCGCTTATGGAAGAATGGCAGCTGGTCGATTTGTTTGAATATAAAATTCGAAAAAGAAAAAAAGGTTGAGCGAAATGTACCAGTACAGTACGCACTGTACCTGGTACCGTACGGGTATGGCGAGTACCATTTCTAGTGTCATGGACTGATTCGACTCATAACATCGGGCGAAGGTCAAGGGTGTTGGTTTTTGGCAAGGATTGGCTGTGAAGCGTCTCAAGAGCTTCGCAATATTTTTCGTTTGAAGCTTCTCCAATCACCTCCAGCTGTACCCGGTAACATTTACAATTACCTTACCATCTATCTGCCATAGGATGAAGTTTTCAACTGTATGTGCATTTCTACCGGTATTTGCCGGTGTCGGTCATGGTTTCAACCCTCAATCGAACCTGAGGTATGTATGAAATCTTTCGTAATCGGCTACAGGCTCGATGGATCTCATGATTCCGCTTACACCTCTATTTGAATCCGCGCACGCAGGCAAATTTCTACCACCAAGTTGATGGTGGCTTCATCCACAGCTTCCAGCTCTGCAACAGCTTCCGATGAAGGAGAATGGAGTCCCACATCTTGGCAGTCCAAAGTCGTCAGTCAGGCTCCAAACTACGAAGATGAAGACGAGTTGAACGATGCTATCGAAAAGCTTGGAAAGTTTTCTCCCTTGGTGTTTGCAGGAGAAGTTCGTATACTTCACGAGCAGCTCGCCAGAGCTTGCAGTGGACAAGGATTCGTTCTTATGGGTGGTGATTGTGCTGAAGCCTTCGGCGAATTTAATGTTGACCATGTTCGCGACTCTTTCCGTGTAATTCTACAAATGGCTTTGGTTCTGACATTCGGTTCTGCCATGCCTGTCATCAAGATCGGTCGAATGGCAGGGCAGTTTGCGAAACCGCGTTCTGATCCAGATGAGGTCCGCGATGGCGTTGCACTCCCTTCTTATCGTGGTGATATCATCAATTCCGAAGAGTTCACCCCCGAAGCGCGTCGTCATAACCCTTTCAACATGGTAGAAGCTTACCACCAAAGTGCTCAAACTTTGAACATTCTGCGTGCCTTCTCAACTGGTGGATATGCTGACATTTCCCGGCTCCATGCTTGGAACTTGGATTTCGTCGAACAAACCGATGAAGGCAGTAGGTAGGTTAGGATAGAAGAAAAATTTTGGGGCTTTTGTTTGAGAATAAATCTCACTCCTCTTCAATAACAGGTACAGAAAATTCGCTACCAAAGTCGATGAATCGTTGCGGTTCATGAAAGCAATTGGAGTGGACACTGCATCGCCCTCTTTCACAAAGACAGACTTCTTCACAGCCCATGAGTGCCTACTTCTTCCTTACGAACAAGCTCTAACCAGAATGGACTCCACTACAGGACGTTGGTACGACTGCTCTTCCCACATGCTCTGGGTCGGAGAAAGAACAAGGCAGATGGATGGTGGTCACCTTGAATTCACTAGAGGCATCGGAAATCCTCTCGGCGTCAAGATTTCTGACAAATGCACTCCTGAGGAATTGATTGAAATCATCGAGACAATGAATCCACAGAACATTCCCGGACGTCTCTCGATTGTCGTTCGTATGGGAGCAGATAAATTGAGGAAGAATCTGCCTGGCCTAATCCGTGCCGTTCAGCGTGAAGGGAAGTCTGTTTTGTGGATTTCTGATCCAGTTCATGGAAATACTCGCAAGACTGAGAATGGCTACAAAACAAGAGATTTCGAGAAGATCCGAGCGGAACTTAGAGCTTTTTTCGATGTCCACGACGACATGGGTTCACACCCAGGAGGTGTGCATCTTGAGATGACCGGAGAGGATGTCACTGAGTGTATTGGAGGATTCAGTGATGTCACCGAAGAGACGCTTGGGAATCGTTACAATACTTTCTGTGACCCCCGTCTCAACGGAGCCCAGGCTCTCGAGCTTGCTTTCCTCATTGCTGAGCGCATGAGACTTCGTACCGGCTTGCCACCAATTGAGTAAACTGTAACGGTAATGTAGACAGTAGACTATTTTGTCCATAAGTACCTATATACTTTAGTACCTGGTACGATGTGATAGTGCCGAGTGTAATTTTGTTTTGATGCCATCCACTCGGATGAGTCGAGTATACAATTGCCAAATTGAAAATGTGCGGTGCATTGGTTGGCTGGAACACCCGAACGAGGATTTTGGTCATTGTTGGAAAACAGAAAGACCCTCTTAAGTCATTTGTGATCGCGTGGAGGAAAAGGAGCAACTCATACTTAACAAACAAACAAAAACATAGAATAATCTGATTGGCTCAGGCAAAAGCGAGGAGAAGCCACCAAAAGTGAGGACTTTGGTCGCTTCTCCTCAATTTACTCAAAGTACTCAATTTCCTCAAAGTCCTCATTTTACTCAATTGAGGACTTTGAGGGAATTGAGGAGAAGTGACCAAAAAGCGTTTTTTACTCATATGTGTCCAAAGTTTGTCAAATGAACTTGAATTTTGGGGGATGATAGTCACAATCAAATGATTTTCAATTTGGCGAAACAGGCTCGCTTAAAATCTCACAAAAAATATAAAATAAATCAGAATGTACGAAGAGGTGACGCTCGCTGAGAGACTGATCTTGGGGCAACCGCCAGTCCAAGACTTGATTGGCGATAAAGCATCGCCGATAATGTGGGGGAGGTTATAAATTTATTGGTGGACATCTTTGTGGGAATTTCGAAAACGAGGAGAAGCCACCAACTTGGTCGCTTCTCCTCATTTCCCTCAAAGTCTAGATCGGCAAGACGGGAGACGTATGGGCGTTTCTAGCTCTTCCTTAGTCTCAATATCCGTCGTGTCGATTACGGCGCGTCGCTTCAGTGAAGTACACGGTTGGCGGACGGAGCGAAGAGTGTCGACGAAGAGGACGGAAGATTTGGAGAAGACATTGTTCGCAATGGGAGCTTGTGGGATGATGGAGGCGATAGAAGGAGTTTAGCTGCTCGGTCAAGACCGTCAGCTCTTTTTGCTTTTCCCGCCCTCACCACCCTCTCTCTCATTTGCACCATAGCTCGGTACCCCATTTGGTCCGGGTTTGTCTGTCAATCCTATTGATTGTCCTTTTCGAATCCTATGATTCGACCTCGGTGCAAACCAGTCACTAACTTAGTACCTCGCTACTGTGCCAAACCTACTCGCTTCTCGTATGTAGCATCGGGCTTTTGCCACAGTTTCCATGGTAGCATACGTGCGCGATCTCTCCAGACAAAGACTACATCATGCGATTCAAGCCCAGGAGTGGAGGCGGCGCCGGGTAATCTTCGATTACTCAATTTACTCAAACTCCTCATTATACTCAAGTGAGGAAATTGAGCACTTTGAGGGAATTGAGGAGAAGCGACCAGAAAGCAGTTTTTACTCATAAATGTCAAATATTTGTTAAATGAATAATCTTCTTCTATCATTTTTGGAAAATGTCTCGTTTTACATAATGCAAGACATAATGGAGAAATGACAAAGTCATTTCTCGAGAAAGAACCACGACAAATTCGGAAGTCCTCACTCTGCCAGGTGTTCCTGGCGCAGTTATTTTATCAAACTTTGAAAAATACCGGTACTAATCGAAGATTACCCGGCGCCGCCTCCACTCCTGGGCTTGAATGAATCGCATGATGTATTAATAGTCTTTGTCTGGAGAAATCGCGCACGTATGCTGTGGCAAAATCCTGATGCTACATACGAGGTTTGGCACAGTAGCGAGGTACTAAGTTAGTGACTGGTTTGCACCGAGGTCGAATCATAGGATTCGAAAAGGACAATCAATAGGATTGACAGACAAGATACCCGGACCAAATGGGGTACCAAGCTTTGGTGCAAATTAGAGAGAAAAAGCAAAAAAAGCTGACGGTCTTGACTGAGCAGCTAAGCTCCTTCTATCGTCTCCATCATCCCACAAGCTCCCATTGCGAACAATGTCTTCTCCAAATCTTCCGCTGAGAGAATAATGGGGGTATTGCGATTGATTCGATTTAACCAGCATGACCGTTGTTCACTCATTTTAAATTGAATTGACGGGATTGCACGCTTTCCAGCGATTTTCAAACGAACTTCAAATAGTCTCATAATCTTGTAAATACTCGATTGTCAACAATTCTCTCAGGTTTCGAGCCCAACGCAGGATAATCTCCGACTCCTCTGCGCAACATTCCTCATTGTCAACCTGCTACCCGTCGAGAGCGATTCTCTTGTCGTCTTGCTGGATTTGTTCCTCTTACTGAAGAAGAACTTCGTGCCCAACTCCAAAACAACATGGAGCAAGGCAACGATCCCGCCCAAGGCAATGCTGTCCCAGACGGCGCCAATCAAGGCAACGCCGGAGGCAACCAACCTGCTGCAGCAAATCAACCTGCTGCTGCAAACCAACCTGCAGCTGCTGCGGCCGATCCACAACAACAACAACAAATGATTGCCCAACTGATCGCCCAAAACACCATGTTAGTCAACCAATTAACCAACTTCATGGCACAAATGCAGCAACCGGCGCAGCAACCCGTCATCATCGTGGACCTACATCAAACTGGTACTGCCTACAACTTGGCCCAACGCAATGGGTTGGCGGCCTTTCAAGAAGCTTCTGCCGCCCTTTTGCACAAATATGATGGGTCCAACGCGACCTACCCGGATTTC